CCCCCAGTGCCCAGGGTCTGCTCCCCACCCTCCCTGGGGTGCCCAGGGTCTGCTCCCCACCAGCTGCACCCCTGGACAGCTCAGGGGGTGGCTGGTGCTTAGAGCTGGCAAATGGTAAATTCACAAATTCACCCCATCCAACCTCAACCTCCCCTGGGGCAACTTGAGGCTGTTTCCTCTTGTCCTGTCCCTTGTTCCTTGGGAGCAGAGCCCGACCCCCCCCTGGCTCCAGGCTCCTGTCAGGAGCTGTGCAGAGCCAGAAGGTCTCCCCTGAGCCTCCTTTGCTCCAGGCTCAGCACCCCCAGCTCCCTCAGCTGCTCCTCCCCACACTTGGGCTCTAAAAGTAAACCAGGGGGAGGAAAGAGAAGTGGAACCAGGGCATCCAGATGCTTTGATGGTTGGTTACAAGGTTGGTTATCTCTGAAGTGGGGTAAAAGGGAGCAAAGAAATTCATAGTGTGCAGCTCTTGTCCTGCTCCTGTTGTAAGAATTCCACTTTATGAAAACATCAGAGCAGTCAATTCTCAAATCTGAGTTGTTTTTTTAATAGAATCATAGAATCCCAGACTGGTTTGGGTGGGGAGGGACCTGTCAAGGTCCATCTCATCACCCCCCTGCAGGGAGCAGGGACAGCCCCAGCTAGAGCAGGGTGCTCAGAGCTTGGTCCAACCTCCCCTGGGATGGTGCCAGGGATGGGGCAGTGACCACCTCTCTGGGCAACCTCCAACAGGGGTTCCCCACCCTCAGTGTCACAAATCTCTTCCTTTTTCTTGTCTCAATCTCCCTCTTTTAGTTTCTAACCACCTTCAGCTGGAGGTGTGGGGCAAACGTTGGCCCCTTGCCCCATGCCTGGGTTGGTTTGTTGTGTTTGCAGAGCTGTGAGCTGAGACCCAACCTGGACAGCCCAGACCAAAGGGAGATGGGGACTCGTGTGTTCAGGGGAGGAGGAACCCCAGAGTAGCACAGTGTGAGGTTCTGAATCCCTGCTGGGGGGGTAGGTGGGTGCCACAAGGCTCTGAGCACCTCGCTGGTTAAGAAGGGGGGTGCTTGGAGCATTTGGGGACGTTCTGTGTGAGGTGGGACTGGGAAAGGAGCAGGAAAGGGCCGAGAGCCGTGGGTGGGCTCTGAGCTGGGGTCTGTTTATAGGGAAGAGGATGAACTCCATTCCTCTTCCACCGTTCCAGTCTGTAAACAGCAGAGTGTAAACACCCCTTTGAATGATTCAGACATAGTTCAGAAACTCAGTCAGGCTCGAGAACCTCAAAAACTTTTCCCAGAGGCAGCCAACTCAGCCAGCCTCAAAGCCAGCAGAGCAGCTCTGCTCTCCCAGGCTCCATCCCTGGCACCTTCCATGTCCTTGGCTTTTGATGTGGAAACAGAGCAAAAATGGGAAAGACCCAAAGCAGGGAGTAAGAAGTGATTCACTGCTGGCAGGTGGCAGTTGTATTTATTTGCTTTTGGTTAGGGGCAAGGTAGGAGGAGGGAAGAAGAAACCCACTCTCCAGAGGAAAAATTTCCTCTCCTTCCTTCCTTGCTCCTCCTTCATCTGTAAATATCTGAGAGAGCAGCAGTGATGCTGCAGGGATGATGGCTGGAAGGTTTTAAGCCATGATTATTTTTACAGCTTGAAAGGAGAGGATTTCTGCAAGTTTCTTCCTCTTTTTTTCTAACTATTAAGCAATAGAGAGCAAATTGCCTCTCTGCTCAGAGCCAAGCTGTGCAGAGGGGCTCTGGGGTGTCTCAGAGCAGTGTCCCCACAGCAGGGTGAGGACCTGAGGACCCTCTCAGCACCCTCTGGCTCTCCTGTTGCCCGCCACGTGCTCGTGCTGTGGGTTTGCTCCCCATCCCAAGGCTGGGATCAAGTTCAGGGTGTTGGATCTGCACGGCCCTGTCTGCACAGCCAGCCCTGGGCACGTGGAGCACACGACTGTGGATTCCTCAGCAGGGCAAGGGGTGAAGGCAGGACAAGGAGGGGTGGGTTTGAACTGAAAGAGGGAGATTTAGACTAGAGAGAAGGAAGAAATTTTGGATGCTGAGGGTGGGGAGCCCCTGTTGCAGGTTGCCCAGAGAGGTGGTCGCTGCCCCATCCCTGGAACCATCCCAGGGGAGGTTGGACCAAGCTCTGAGCACCCTGCTCTAGCTGGGGCTGTCCCTGCTCCCTGCAGGGGGGTGATGAGAGGAACCTTGACAGGTCCCTCCCCACCCAAACCAGTCTACAATTCACTGGGTACTTCCATCTGCTCCCTGCTCTGCCAATCCCAAACTTCAGCTGCTCTGAAGCACAGGCTGACTGTTTTTTTCTGAACCAGCAGCGTGGCCTAGAAAAGGATCTTCTTGAGCTGAACATCCCCCAAACCCTGCTGTGGTCCAGCTTTGCTCGTGAGGGGTCTGGGTGCTCCCTCCTACCTGCTGCTGCCCCCAGCAGTGCTGGGAGCTCAGCCCAGGCTGGGGTGACTCTGACACCTCCCTGCTTGTGATGAGCTGCATCACGTGTGAACCCAGCTGCCAGGTTCTTCAGAGCTGAGCCCAGCCAGTGAAGCTGCTTCCATCTGTTCTTCCTTCTCTGCCAATAAATCTCCAGCCTGGCTTCTTCAAAAGCAATAAATCAAAACCATCAAAAATAGGCAGGTTGCTGGGCTGGGCTCGTCCACCTCAGGTTGCAGCCTGTTGTGGAGGAGCAGGTGAGATGTTTCTTGTTCTGGTGAAGGGCAGTGTTACAGGGAAGGATCACCTGGCTGCTGGTGGCTCTGATGCTTCCCCCTCCCTTGGCTTTATAAAACAGGGTGTGATCTCCCAGGGGCTGGGGCAAAGCTCTCCCTTGGAACAGCTTTAGCACTTGAGAAGTAGATAAACCCCCAGGCCAGGAGCCAGCATGAGGGTGGCACAGGCAGCAGAGCCCCAGAGGGTTGTGCCCAGGGGAACATCTCCTGGCTGTGGTGGCTCTACCTCCAGGAGATGCCTGGGCTGAGGGGTGCAACAGCTTGGCACCAGGGACTGGTTTGGGTGAGAAGGGACCTGTCAAGGTCCATCTCATCACCCCCCTGCAGGGAGCAGGGACAGCCCCAGCTAGAGCAGGGTGCTCAGAGCTTGGTCCAACCTCCCCTGGGATGGTTCCAGGGATGGGGCAGCGACCACCTCCCTGGGCAACCTCAGCCAGGGGCTCCCCACCCTCAGCATCCACAATTTCTTCCTTCTCTCTAGTCTCAATCTCCCTCTTTTAGTTCAAAACCAGCTGAGGACTCCAGAGCTGCCCCAGCACTGCAGGGGGGTCTAACA